ATTCTGCTGAGAAAGCGGTTATTTTCCCTGCCCAATTGGAATACCAGGCATACTGTCTATATGGCAGGGCAAAGGGCGTAGCGGTGGCGGTTGGTCGACTCCGCTTTCGTGCAAATGCTTTCCTGAATCTGTTAGGCTGCGTTTATACTTTGCGGCAGCGTAGCGTAGCGCTTCCAGCGGCAGTGTCGGGGAAAGGATAGATATCGATCTAGCGTTCCCAGCGTCACCAGCGTACGCTAGCGTAACGCTAGCGTAGCGAGGGCACGGGAAGCATAGCTATCGATCTAGCGCTCCCAGCGTTTCACGAGCGTTTCACTAGCGTTTCGCTAGCGTTCGCCAGCTAAGAGAGTATAAAATACTCTCCTACTCTTCTATACTCTCTAGCCCCGCCGCTGCAAACGCTAGCGAAACGCTAGTGAAACGCTGGAAGCGCTACGCTGCCGCAAAGTATAAACGCAGCCTAATCGCTGGACCGCTTCACCATTGAAGAAAGTTTGGCACTACTTCTAACTATTACTACCCCAATTTTCCGAAAACGGGCCGGATCTTGATCGACTTTTTTACGGGGGCAGATTTGGCTGAAAGTTGGGTTCTAGGGGTAATTCGACCTCCTGAACACGAATATCACATCCGCTTGCCCGAAACTGCCTGGCGCCCGCGCCACAGGCGCCGGCGCCAAGGTACCCTAGATCACCAAATCCGCTGAAAACTTGTATACGGAGGTTATTTGACATCTTGATTACAAATATCACATTCATTTTGGCGCAAGGACTGGTGGAAGACGCTGCGATCATATGCGCTGCGCGTCAATTCTTATGGAAAATGGTGTGGCGCCAAATAAGCGCCTAATGGCACCAAATGGTGTCAGGGCCAAAAACTAATTCGATATGTATGATCAGGACATCAAATAACCCTACTATGCAAATTTACACCGAATAAGATGGCGGCCTCAAACTGGCGCCAATTGGCGCCAATTTGGCGTCAGCGAAGAAAAGGAGTGCTATATTCGTGATCAGGACACCGAATCACCTCTGTGGGCAAAGTTTCAGCAAAAAAATTTTTAACCTTTCGGGGTTAGTTGAATAGTGCCGAAAGTTCTTCTTCAAATGTGATATAGTCAGCAAATGTGGTCCGACGTAGCGGTGAAGCATGGTAGATCGCTGCCACGCCCTTCTCAAATCGTAAAACATAATCGCTTTGGACGCTAGAAATCAACGTAACTCAACTCCCTAACGACATTTTTTACGCTACCCATAAAGCCGAGTAATTGTAGCAACTCACTTAATGTGATTCTTTGTGGCTCTAGGTGGGTGTACGCGTAGGTACTCTCAAAGAAGTTCACCTCAAAATGATTCAGTTAGTTGAAAATCGGATCTATCCTATGTATTTCTTTTTTTTCCAGCTGAACGCATCGCACCATAAACAACCACCGCTGCAAGTTTTGTCTGAAAAAACAACTCTTGTCATTCAAGACAAGACTGGCTCCAAATGGCCCTGAAACTGCTGGAAGCCGCGCCCGTCTAATGCGCGGATCACGTTTCCGAGCATTTCTTATACACTACGTGGTAAATTCCATTCTATTCAGCTGCAGAAAAAACAACAACAAGTCGGAAAGCCTCTGAAAATGGAAGTTTCAGAAAATCTCAATTGTTTTTCCTCCACTCTAAGTCACAGCTGGGATTTTGTTCCAACTAGGAATAGTTTCGTGTCCATTTTATTCCATTGTGGTTCCATATTCATGTAGCGGAATCCTCACTGATTGACAACACTTTTCATACTCCATTTCAGCCGGATTTCTTTTTGTAACGCCTTATTCAGCAGGGATTTCAAATGGAAACGCCACGTTCATATCTGACGGCAATCGCACGTATTTCACGTCTAAGCCGGTTCAGTTGCTTCTTGTAGCGCCCAATTTGCAACCGCACATCTTTCATTTAGGCGGCTTTGAGAAACCTACTATTTAAACGCTTGGAACTAATGGGATCTCACAGGGATGAAGCACGAAAAAGCACTGGACGATGCTGGATCGATCATACCCACAAAGGTGGTCATACGGGGATTCACCAACCGCCCAGGAATCCTATCAAGCTTGTTGCTGGACATCAGAAGCTTCATTTCATTGTTATTAAGGTCGACCAATCAATGTTATGAGCTCGTCGGACATCATTACTTGAACAGGAAACAGACCGATTCGATTGCAAGAACAATGCCATCGTTAATCACTGATTCCTCTAAAAACTTTGGCCAGGCTGCTCAATGATCATAAAAGTGGGAACCTGCCAGACTTCCCGTTCCGAGAATCATTGCAGCTTCCCTTGAAGAGAAAAAAAAACAACTTTGCTGGAAGAATGTTTATTGTACTGCAAACACATTCTTTACCAGGACCATGGTTTCGCTTAGCGGCGAGTTCCATCTTCGAAGAAAACACCTCCGTCGATGGCGCAGTATTTGGGGCAAATTCCGGGCTCGCCGGCACCTCCAGCTGGTCCAGGTTCTCCAGGAGTACCCGGGTTTCCATCGACACCAGGTTGACCATCGGGTCCATTCTCTCCTTTTGGTCCTGGTTCACCTAAAAAATAATGACACTTTCAAGGAATGATAACGTGACTGAGGATAGTCAAAGCAAAAACTGAAGTCGAACTCACCGTCAGTGCCGGGTTGTCCAGGCTGTCCATCAGGTCCAGGTGGTCCTTGAGGTCCAGCTTCACCAGCTGGTCCAGGCTCTCCAGGAACGAGTGGCTCAGAGACAGCGTCAGCTCCGGGTTGTCCATCCGCACCAGGAGTACCAGGGTTTCCGTCAGGTCCAGGTGGTCCTTTGGGTCCAGGTTCTCCGGGAGCTGCATCTTGTCCGGGTGCGCCAGGAGCTCCATCAAGTCCAGCATCTCCATCAGGTCCTGGAGGTCCTGGAGGTCCGGGTGGTCCTTGTGGGCATGGCTTGCATGGAGGAGGAGTGACTGGGTCACATGGCTGCTGTGGTGGGCGTCCTGGGTTTCCTGGAAGTCCAGGTGCTCCGGGCTTTCCTGGGCGACCAGGCTGACCGGGTGTTCCAGCTGGTCCAGCAGGTCCTGGAAGACAGCAAGACTCACAGCTACCGCCTGCACTGGCGGATCCTCCACCCACTCCGGCGTCACCGTATCCAGCCTGACGAGCAGTTCTGTTCACGGCAGGAATGGCCTTAAGATGTTTCACCTCGCTCCAAATATCCTTTGCAGACTCCGTGCAGAAGTTAATCTCGTTGTGCATGGTCTTCTTCACATGATGGACATAGTTGTAGACCATGGGCAATGTGACACAGACCGAAAGGACTGCGACCACGGAGAATGTGACTGCCGCGTAGGCGACAAAGCGGTACGCTTTAACACGATGCTGAAGATCCATGATGATGAGATCACTGTCCAATTCACCTAACTTTTTTTCTTATATACCAGCTGGTTATCTCGGTCGATCTGTGCAGAGTCTCCAAATTTCTCTGATATTTCTCAGCTTTCTCCTTATTCGACGACACTCCGCCCACACCGGTAATCTATGCGGGTGTAACATGTCAAAATTTGAAAGCAAAAGTGTAATATGGGGTGAATTTCATGAAACATGATTCCGAGGGAAAGATGCTATCGCTTCTGTTCATCAACAGCGGTCCTAAACATCTTTAAGTATACCTCACTGGAAGCAGGATTGAGGAAAAATAAGGAATACAGAAGGGAAAGATGCTATCACTTTCACTTTCTATTGAAGTGCTAAAGCCTTTTCAGAAAGGTATTGCAAATGTTGGTACTTTCAGTCGGAATGTGGAGGTAATATGCAGCGGAAGAATGCAACTCACTGATACAGCAGTACTATCAGGTTGTCCGGAAAGTTCTGCAGCGTTTTGTGTTACTATTTTTTGAACATTCATTGCTGATTAAAAACTCATTCTCCCTTGCGTCTCAGTAGTACATCCTGAAGAGAATTCTTTGCGCTATCTGATGGTATAACTGCCGTTTCACCATTGCTTGATGAACCCCTTTTTTAAGATTTTTTCAAGCATGTGAAAAGAGCACTTCGGACGATTTTTTTCTTCGACTATAAATTGGGGCAATCCGCAATCGAAACAGCTCAACAAATTAACCAGGTGTGGGGGCCCAATAGTGCTAGAGAAAGCACTGTGCGGCAATGGCTCAACAAATTTCGTTCTGGAGATTTCAGCCTTGAAGATGAACCTCATAGCGGTCGACCTAAAGCAATATCTGACGAGATTTTAAGGGGATTTTGGAGGCTGACCCATCCCAAACAGTTCGAGAGATTGCAGAAAAGCTAGGCGTTGGCAAATCCACTGTTGCAGATGGTCTGGAACGCATTGGGAAGGTGAAAAAAAATCTTCCAATCGCATGCCCCACAATCGGAGCTACCGGCAGAAATCGGCACGTC